TCAAAATGATACTCCTCTTTCAGTATCATGCTAAGCCATCCTGCACAAGAAAAGAAACATTTAAAAGCATTTTACCATTTGGTAAATATACCTCAGTTTGGGGAAGTAGACTGTTGTATATAATAATAAAAGCACAGCTATTGTTACAACTAAATGAACTTTTAAATTCCACTCATTCACAACTTTAAAACTTGGAAAATACTCCAGAGATTATTTTCTATAATTTGTTCTAGTAATGAGTTTTATATGCATGGATTCATTAAACAAAAAAATACTCAGTAGGACTTCCTAGAACAATAAACTACAGAACTTCAAGTGAATAAGCCATTTAAAAAGAGGGAATATGTAAAAGCAAATATATTTTTCAGATAATTGTTAATTCTGTTAATTCTATTTCTTTTTAGCAGCCCCAAATCAGACTGTTTCTTATAGGATTTCAAATTTTTCAGAGTTAAACATAAGTTTAACTTATTTCGGTTTATGACATTTTAAGAAAAATCATGGGTTCTTTCCAGTTCACAGCTACAATGCTTACACACCTTCCACCTATGAAGTCCAAACACTGAGTGATTGTAGGGCACCTACAAAACAACTCATTTTAACTGGTTCTTCTGTGAGAGTCATGTCTACTCACAGTTCAAATCACATAGTAGTCTTGTTACATGAAATCGTAAAATAAAACACTACAAAAAAAGAGCTCAAGATTATAATCAGTCTAAACTAAAAGAAAATCCAGCTAAAGCATCAGTGAATTTTTGTTTCCAGACAAAAGGCTGCTTATTAGAGATTCCAATCTCTCTTTAAAAAGATCTGTGTTCCCACATTAACACCAACATTTCATGCAAAACAGTTTACCAGTGAGATCTTTATAGAACAGGCAAATTGCTACCCAAAGATGTCAGATCATCTGAGAACTATTTTTAAAAAGCAATAGCTTTGTTTCTACATTTCTTAATGAAAAAGAATCACCCACACCTGCTCTACCAGTTATGGTTAACTTCATCCCTAAAACTCTAGCATTTCACCACTATATTTTTTTCTTTTTCGATGTGTATAAAAAAGCAAGATGAATTAATCTTGTATTCCAATGCTATTTGCTGTGAATTACTTTTCCTGCCTGCCTCTTCAAATCTCATCCACATTACAAAGACAGATTCAAAATCTTCCTTTTTGACTCACCTGTTTCTCCAAAGGATGTGTACTTCAGGGAAATCTCCAACATTTAGTTATAACATTCGGATATGTGATCTCCCGTATATTGCATTAATCCAGTTATGTTAATGATGACAACCTGAATAAATTGTAAGTTTCTCAAAATTCATATCTTATCATCTTTCTAAGCTTCTACTTTCTTCCACCAAAGGCTTACCATACTACTAAGTATATAGCATGTATTGGTTTAAAAATCAGTGAATACTCATGCTTATTCTCAGTTCTCCTTTCTTTCCCCCATCCTATAGTGAGAGTGGCTACTAAAGGCAGTAATGCCTTTTTTATACCGCTGATGTTGTAAAACAGGATAAATGCATTCGAAACCAACCTTTAGAGCTCATTGAGACTAGAAACTACAACTTACTCATCTTGAAGCAATAAAAAGATGGCATAGTACTTGAAACATGGTAAGCACTGAAAAAATATATTGAATTATATTTTAGCCTTTTCCATTATCATATAAAAGACTAAAAGATCCATATTATTTCTCAAAAGTCTAGTTATTTGAGATTTTATTAAATTCTGAGGGCAAAATAAAACTGCTCCTAGATTTTCTAGAAATCCTTTCCTTCTAATATACAATCCAATTATAACTTTTATGATTAAATAATTATAACTAAATAATCGTAAAAAAGACACTCATAATAATTCTTAATGCTGGACAGACTAGAGTTTTGTTAATAATTATTAAAGCATATCAAACAGCTACTATTGTGTTTGAATCTATGCTACTACCTGAATTTTCAGATGACTGAAGTCCAGAAAACTTCTACAAAGAAAAGCAGTTTCAAAGTAACCTCAAACAAAAGTCTAATATGTTGGTACAGAGTTTATGCAAAGATAAAGGGCAGTATATTCAAAAAAATAAGACTGCATTTTAATTAGATTGTAAAACAGCAGAAAAGAAAAATACCATATGATGACAGACAGTGATCTAGTCATAGTTGTTATTTTTTTATTTTTAATTTCTGTTCTAAGTTAATAAGAGCTCACTGCTAACATATCAAAATTTATTATGGCTAAAAGTATAGCATTGCCAATATTGTAATTAGAATTCTAAATGTAACAATTTATATTTAACATATACCAATTAAACTGCCAGAACATTGAATATAATAAATGACAAATTAATAGCAACATTTATAAGTCATAAGTATTCATATGTCATAGAAGACAACAAGCTTTGTAGTTTACAAAGCTTTGTTATTCCTTTATTCAAAACTACATCAAAGACATGTGCAGTCACATATGCTATACTATCCTAAAAAGATAAACGCTGGACAACTGCAAGATGTCTTAGGTTAAACATGCCCTATAAATATTTTGTTCTCAAAATAACTCTCACTCATGTTATATAAATAGCCAATGTTTTAAGACTCAGCCATAGTATATACACTTCCATGTGCAAACCTAGGATGATGATATCCACACAAAAGTAATTAACAATCACATCACATCATTTATCATTCATAAATTTCAGTTTCAAGGTAAGATTTTTACAAAAAAAAAAAAAAAAAAGGCCCTGGCAGCCAATCGAAGCTGCCAAAACATCAAGTCAAAATTTTATCTCTATATCTGTCAGAATTCTCCATCTACTCAACTGTACTTTCCTATTCATTTTATATACTATCTGGTTTTCTATCCTTAAAAATCCTCAAGTAAATGAAGACACAGATGGGAAGAGCGATCAAAAGATTCCCTCATTTGCATCTTTGTGATTCTTACCAAGAACTACTAGGAGGTTAAAAGTTTCACTACAGATCTATTTATCCTCCAAATGTCCATAGCATAATAAGGCTAAGCAAAACCAGGACCATGTGTAGTCTCTTGTCATTTATTCTATGCCAAATACTGACTGGACTGACAAATCATAACATAAGGAAGTATGGCCCACAGATGCATAATTTTGATTGACTATCTTTCTCTTAATCTCAGCCTCGAGAAAACAGTAATTAGTGTGCGGCTGTAAGTTTCCCACATCCCCACCTTAGAAACCTCAACAACTATAAGGCACAATTGTGCCAAAAGGAACATACCCTATTTGTTCATTTTTTAAAACGCCATAATGTTTCAGATGAAAACACAGCCTGCCAAAGATGTCAAATAAAAGAATAACAAAGAAACGAAGAGCATCTTTAGACTTGAATTTCAATGCATAACCCCTCCATCTGTCATCCAGTTGTGAAGCAATAATCCTAGAGAAGCCCTGCAAACACGAATAAGTTTTATCCCCGCATCTGTATCAACAGCCATTCTCAGGACCTCAGTAGTAATTATGCTCTGTCTGTGGAGCAACCTACAGGAATGACATTTGCCATGACAAACCGAACCCTGGCGACGAGTGGGCCATTTTAACAGACTTACATTTGGCAGCAAATGCGGAGTTCAGTTCATAGTGGTATTGGGGGAGGGGGGAGAGGAACGGAGGGGGAGGACGGGGGACTCTTTCCTCGAATTTGCATTGTAAATTGAATGCTGGAGGTTAATCTCTAGAGACTATTTATCCAAACAACGCCAATATCCACTGCCATGGCCTCACTAATAGGATTTCAATTTTGGACCTAGACTACGCCCCAACTCGTCTTCCAACTGCGGCCACCACCACCTTCGAAGTTACAGTCTTAGCTCTCATCGCAACTGGGGCTGCGGACTCCATCACCAAGAACCTCACCAGGAGCCCGTTCTGTAGTGGAACGGCGCGCTGGGACTCTGCCACCAGCTCCGCGACGCCACCAGCAGCTAGCCGGGCTTGCGGGAGACCCCACCCCTCCGCGCCCAGCCCCCGCCCCCGCCCCCGCCCGAGCCGCCGCCTGAGGTACGCAGCCTCAGCGCTGACACGGTCTCAGTCTCCGCTTCTTTCCATTCGCATCACTGGGGAGAAGGGTGGGGGCGGGGGCAGAATTGGGATGGGGAGAGGGGGGAAGAACCAAAACAGTCCCAGTTCCAAAGGGCCAAGACGCCAGTGGCAAGACACGCGCCCGCCACACACACACACACACACACACACACACACACACACACACACACTCGCCTGCGCGCCCCGCTTCCCAGGTTCAATGCCAAGTGGCGACAGGATGAAAGCAAGTAAAGAAGGAGTGATGGGGTGGCCAGAAGGCCCAGAGTTACTGGGAGTGACGTTCGGAGGAAAACAGGGGATGCTTCAGGAACTGCGAAAGTGAGAAAGTCCCAGACCCCCTCCACATCCCCAAGGCTGGGCTCTTCTGCCGGTAGCCCGGGTCGCCTTCCTTCAGCGGGGCTCGGGAAGCGGGGAAGGGAGCCGGAGCCGAGCTTCCCCGAGGAGGCTGCCCTCCCCCGCCTGGCGCAGGGCCCAGAACCCGGCCCCCCTTCAGCCCCAGCACGGGGAGGCTGCCAGGCAAGGGGCGGACTTGCCAAAGGACTCTGGAGGAGCAAGAGGGCAGGAAAGGAGCATCTTGCACGCTCCGGCCGGGCCGCTCACGTCTTCCTCTGCCGACACACCCCCGGTTAACCCCCTCCCCGTCCTCACACACATACACACGCACAGACAGAGACACGCGTGCCCTCACCCCCACCCACCACCATCCCAGGTCTATCGATTAAAACACTAGTTGATTTCTCCCTGATTGAAAAAAGAAAGTGCAACAACAACTCTTCTCAGAAGTCGCCAGAGCAAAGAAAAGTCCGTCTGCAGGCGTCTTTCTGTAGTTTCCCAGGAGTTTAGAAACCTGGCGGTCCGCAGCGAAAACGGGACCGGGATCCCCGAGACGGCAAAGGGCGCCGAACTCCCTCCCCACCCCGGCGCCCCTCACCTCCTTAAGTTCCTTGGCCACGTCCTTCAGGTCGCCCAGGACTAATTCCAGGTCCTCCACGATGATCTTGATCTGTTCCTTCACCTTGGTTTTGGAGGCTGCCGGCGGTCCCTCGGCTGGAGAGGACGAGGAGGGGTTCCCCTGGGGCTTGGCTGACATTCTTTGGGGGCAAGCGAGGCAGGTCAGGACAGTCTGGCGAGCGGAGGCTGCTGCGCGCCCCCGTCCCTGGCGCTGCTACGGCCGCGGCCGCCCCGGTCCCCCCACATCTTGGGCGCTCCCTGGGCAGCGGCGGCTGGCTGCGCTCGGCGCTCGGCCGGGCGGCCGCACCGTGGTGCTGCCATCTACTCCCCGAGACGCGGCGCTCGGCGCGGGGCTGCAGACGGGCAAGTACAATATAGAATTAACTGAAAGGGGAAAAGTTACAATTGGCTTCTAGGCCCAAACTGAGAAAGCTGGTAGAATCCTAGTAGTGCTATCTATCACTATCTTCTGATCATTAAAGATCACTTAAAGCAAGTCTCCATAAAATATTCCTAAAGAAGAAAATTTTATAAAGAAAGTTAAAAATATTGAGGAGAAAAAGACAGAATAAAAATGATACATAAATACAAATTAAATCTATTTAGTCATGATTTTTGTATTACCCTCATGGAAAGTTGTTCATTCTTTTGGTTTATATGGACTCTCTTAGAGATCAGTATAATGTTTTAAACCCAAATTATACGGACCACACAGCAAAAGTCTCACCTAATAAAATTTCTGATGAATCTCTGTATAAATTTGTCTATGTACCATTGCTAGCTGAAATGGGTACATAGCCAAACCACATTACTTATAAACTTAGGATACCAGATTTCTTTTTTTTTTGTTGTTTCCTTTTATTGAAACATAATTGATTGCACATATCTGTGGGGTACAGCATTGAACATCAGTACATGTACAATATATGATGCTCAAATAAGGATAATCACTATATTTATCATCACACAACGTATTTATTTTTTGTGGCCCTTTTCCAATTTCTCATTAAAGGAAGGTCTCACTCATCTATAGAAGTAATTGTAGACTCAGCCTTATATTTCTTCTGTCTCTTTATTCATTATTTTCTGAATTTTGTAGCAAGAAGAATTGGATAATTATAGGAGATCATCTAGTGGTTGTTTCTTCAGTTACAAGTCTTTATCAGTAATATTTGTGTGTGTATATGTGTGTGTTTAATACATTGCAATTGATCCCTAATAGTTAGTCTGCAGAAGAAAATCCTGTGACACTGACATAATTTTTAATTCACAAAGAGCACAAGAATGTTTCTGAAATAGCTTGTCCTATTTTGTTAGCAGTGACTTACTGATACACTACTATAATATCCTTCATTGATTCTCAAAGAAACAATGATGTATATAATATAAAATCATTCTTAATGTAGACTTTTCTTTTTCGTTTTTCTTTTGTGTAAACTTATTTTTGTTTGTAAAATCCAATGAAGTCATGGATTTGAAAAGACAAAGAATTAAAAACAGAAAGGAGGCTTTGTTCTGACCAAAATAGTTTTCACTGGGAGATGGGGGTGGGGAGTGATGGAGAAGGATATGGAAGTCTAGGAGACAAAATGCAGCTAGTGATGCAGCTGGGAAAAATTAGAAAAGTTCTCCATATATACATTGACTAGAATGTATGTTGCATATGTCTAGGCAGTGATTCTCAAACTCTAGCGTGCATCACAGCTTGTTGAAACACAGATTGTTGGACCCCACTCCCAAGGTGTCTCCTTCAGTATATCTGGGGCGGGTCTGAAATTTGCATTATAACAAGTTTCTAGGCTTCTGGTGGGGATGCACACTTTGGAAACCACTGACATAATTAAATATATTGCTCTAATTAAATATATCAATGAGAAAGAAGTCAAGTTTGCTTTTAAGATTTTGAGTACATAGGGATGCACACTTTGGAAACCACTGATATAAGAGATTAAAAAAGAAACTTTAATTTTCTTTTTAGCTGGAATTATCTTTAAAGATCATCTAGTTAAATCTCTTTGTGTTATAGATGAGAAAACTAAGGCCATGGGGAACTAAATAGCATATCCAATGTTTCACATCTAGGTAACAACAAATTGGGAGCTGAAACTCCTTGTTGATTCATACATTTTGTTGAATTGTCTCCATTTGTCTGGGGAATGTCTCCTTTTTATGTATTAACTGCTTTTGGCATGATGGCTATGTACTATAGATGAATATCAGTTTAAAAAAAATGCTATCTGATAGCTTAAATACAAATACTTATTGTACTATTCTGAGTAATTAGAACTGAGTTTATTGCAAAGAGTATGCTCAATAAAAATTTGACCACAAAATGAATGAATAAAATGAAAATGTTTTCTCTGTGTGTTTTTAAATTAATTCAATTCACCAAATATTTTTTAAATGATTACTTTGGGCAAGAATCTATGCTGCGGAATAGATATGCCACTAGGTTCAGCAAGACATAATCCCAGCCACAGCCATTAGGTAATTCCACGTATGACTGAGATAAAGTGGGATTACCTCAGAATAGCTCTCTCTCCTCTTTTCTAACTGTAGTCAATTCTACTTGACCTCTGCTATGGTCTGCATGTTTATGCCCTCGTCACCCCCCACCCAAATTCATATTGAGATCCAAACCCTCATGGTGATGCTAAGAGGAGGCGAGGCCTTTGGGAGTTGATTAGGTTCTGAGGGCAGAACCCACATGAATGGGATTAGTGTCCTTGTAAAAGAGGCCCCATGGAGCTCCCTACCCATTTCCATCATGTAGGTTAAGTGAGAAGATCATTGTCTTGTTAGGAAGCTGACCCTCAATCAAATCTGCTAGTGCCTTGATCTGGGGCTTTCCAGCTCCCAGAACTGGGAGAAATAAATTGCTGTTATTTATAAACCACCCAGTTTATGGTATTTTCTTTACAGCAATCCAAATGAACTAAAACAACCTCCAATGTATGTTAGTTGGGAGACATTTTATCCATGTGACAGAAACTGACCTTTTGTTCAATTCAACAAAGGGAATTGTCTCACAGCTGAACCACAGAAAGTCGAGGATAGAAATATCTTTAGGTAGGATTGGAGCCAGAAATTCTAGGAACATTGGAACTAATTATTTCTGTATCTGTATCCCACCCCCACTTTTGGAAATTGATTTCTTCCCTTTTAACAGTTTTTCCACAAAGTAGAACCTTGGTCACTGGTAAGTACAGGCTCACATCTTCACAACTCTGCAACTAGAAAAGAAAACTTCCAGAAGAAGATATTGATTAGTCCAGTTTGAATCATGGACACACTCCTAGGCTAAACCCTGTGTAGGGTGCAAAGCTGCCATTAGAGCTGTGCCATTCTTATAGGAAAGTCATACATTTCGTATATTTATTACCATGATTTTTGAGCAGGTGGCAGTAAACTGAGTTATTCTACCAAAATCTATATATAATAATAATTTTCTAATAAAATGGAAGTAAAGTATTCTTAGGAAGGAATACCATTTTCAAAATTCACAGAAATAAAGACACCATATGAATTAAATGTGGTCCTGCATAGGTCAATAACCGGTGGTGAGAAATTATAATGATTCACCCAACTTGGATCAAGTTGCCTACTCCTGTGGCCTATTTCTCCCCCAAAAGAAGACGTGCCCCTGGGGAAATAAAAACAATATATAACCTTTAGGTTGGACTAGATACCTTACTTTTATGTCACACTTATAGATTATTTTCTCATTGTTTTTGCTTCCCCAAGCTATCTTCACTCAAGTCTTAGATGCAGCATTCAGTTTACTCACACCAAGATCCACCAACCACCTGAATGAATGCATTCCAATCTCAGAGTCCCATCCCAGCTATACAGGCCTTAAGCAGTCCGGCACTCTGCTGAACTGCCCCATCACATGTACAAGCAGTCCTCAAACAATTACTCCTTTTCAATCAAGTTTTTGGGAGTTAGTCATCCCAAAACCCAAGGCCCATGCCTGACATGGTAGTCCCAATCTCCTACTACCTCTCATCTTCAAACTGATGAGAGAACCTAGGACTTTCTAAAATGTAGCCAATTGCCACTCTGCATAGCTTAATAATGACCAAAGAAACCTTGGTCGTTTAGCAGAACTCAATACACCCTGCATGCACCAAGATAACTGAAAGTCCTACTTGATCGTTCAGACACCCGGATAATTTTAGTAGATATTTGGAGATCCCTGCCTTATGAAGTTTTAAGACCTATTTATTTCCCCATCCAACCCCCTCAGCCCCCCAGAAATGAGTAAGGATGACCTAGGATAAAGTCAAAGAAGACAGAGAAGTTGTCAGAAGCTATACTCCTTCCTCTGCTTAAGGAGAACCCTGGCCTTCGATATAAAGCAATATCCTGCCAGGTGTTAGGTGGCCACCATTATTATCCACTGTGTGTAGCCAGATAGAGTATGCAGTTTTAGTTCATCATCCAGAAACTGAGATGGAATGATTGACCCAACTCTGCAGTCTTGCAAGTACTCAAGGGCATTCTGCATAATGCTGAAGCGTAAGGACTTAGACACCCTGCTAACCTGAGCTGGTGGGCCTTGATACACGAATTGGGGTTCATAATGATGCCACTAATCTATTTAATTGGCATGCTGCCTCCACTATTTTTTTGTCTCTCTCTCTCTCACCAAAAGTCCATGAGCCATGGCCTATGCCTCAACCCAATCTTCAAATGTATAAAAGGGTATTGTTTTGAATTGAATGTTTGTGTCACCCCACCCAAATTTATATAATAAAGCCCTAACCCCCAATGTGATGATATTTGGAGATGAGCTTAGATATAGCTTAGATGATGTCACGAGGGTGGAGCTATCATTACAGGATTAAGTGGCTTTGTAAGATAAGGAAGAACCCCCTCACCACTGACACACGCATGCACTGAGAAAAGGCCATCTGAGGACACAGTGAGAAGACAGCTGTCTGCAAGCCAGGAAGAGATCCCTCACGAGGAACCAAATTGTCTAGCACCTTGATCTTAAACATTTCAGCCTTTAGAACTGTGAGAATATATACCTCTGTTGTTTAAGCCACCCAGTCTATGGTATTTTGTTATGGCAACCTGAGATACCTAGGACATGCATTGTTCTTCCAGAGGATTTCTAGAATTACATGAAGATGGTGACATCTCTTACAGACTGAGATAAAGCCAGAAGATTGACTAGTACTTAGAATGTATATGTGAATGAAGGCATCTGGAATTTTTCATCTATAAGCTGTAAGGTTGAATGTTGGAGTCTTGCATAAAAGACAGAAAAGAGTAGGGAGAGAGAAAGAAAACCTTTATCAGATGGGGCCTTTGCTGTGGATGTGCAGTAGGGACAGCC